TCATATGCAAGCCCCGTTTGTTACACAGTGTTAAACACGTCATATTTCTGAGTATTCATATTGTACATTCCGGTTGTGAAGGCTCTTTAGTTTTACTTTTCACTTTTCTTTTGCAAAAACCTGTTTCATTATTTTCTAATTAGCATGTTCTAAAATGTGGCGATTTTAACCATACGAACCTACGCCCTGTTTTACCGTTAGAAATTGACGAACATGTTTGCATTAATACCCGTGCCGACGCCCTTTTTAATCGCATTTCACTTAACTACACAAAGCTTTTCCTTGTTGAAAAGCAAATTCTAATCCCTCAGTGTTACTGGTTATTCCAAAAATTTAAGACTGCCGTCCGTCGCGTTGCCCTCCACTCCACGACCCAACACCGAAGGACACAGACTAACGATCTTGAAGGAAGACATTGACAAAAAATCTAGGCGAAGAATGTTTATTAGGGAACAATTAGGGAAGTAAGCAAAATTGACATGCGCTGAATTCAATGGCAATTTCCGGATGAGAATAATACCTCACTATGTACATCTGGACATGCCCCGCAAGCGGGTGCCACAACGACGGTCAACAATGGCACATCAACAAACCTGCTCACTGCATCGTCATCCCCCCTTGCGTCCCTTGGGGGTACTGATGGTCTTTCACTGGCGGCACCAGCACACCAGGCGATCGGATGATACGTCGCCAGACATCAGTTCATCCATTTATGACTGGCCTTGGTCATCCAGACCCAAAAGGGATGCCGCGGTTCAGGCTACCCCTTCTGTCGAGGATTCGCTTGGCCATTCGCAAGTCGAAGCATCCGATTGTGACGTCTCAAGGGATTATCCCAGACATCTTAGCGAGAGTGGCATTTCCCAAGCATCTCAATGTGAAGATGTGGTGACGGCAGCTGGGGATAGTGGTGGTCGGGTAGGAGGTAAGATCCCATTGAAGAAATGTCTACGTCTGGCCAAATCTCTGCTGGTTGATCAGCTTATTTCTGAACTGATAATCCTTCGTTCCATCTGATGTTCACATCCGCCTCCACTTGCAGGCCTACCAAAGGCGTTTGAACAACCATCCCCAACCAAACCACAGGGGGATCGCAGGGTATGTCATATCCCAACAGTCACTTGTGCGCGTTAGGTTGATACGCTCTGCTCGCCTGACTCTCTCTCTCTCTCACTCTCTCTCACTTTCCTTGTAGCCCAGAATCGGGTTTGGAGGCAGGGTGTGGAGGGCACTCCAGAGAATATTTTGTTGTTCTGCTGGAACCCACGAAGACTGACGACTCTGCATCTCCCACCTCTCATCTTCCACTCACCCGTTTCATTTCCTCCACCTTCTCCAGCCCCATTATCTCCCCTTGTGGCTGCACTGTGTTGTTGGGCTCATGTACATAGTTCGATTTATTTATTGTCCAGTTTGATTGAACTCTGCCCTCCATTCCTTAGCACATCTGCCTATCCTGCATGATTTCTTTTTTGTGATTCTCTACATCCGAAATGTGTACATAGTGATTTATGATTTTAATCTAGAAATTGCCATTGAATTAAGCGCACGTCGATTTTGATTACTTCTCTAATTGTTCCCTAATAAACATTCTCCGCCTAGATTTCTTGTCAATGTCTTCTTTCAAGATCTTTAGTCTTTGTCCTTCGGTGTTGGGGTGGGGAGTGGAAGACAACGCGACTGACGGTAGTCTAGACAGTTGTCATGGCGGTAGATGACTTCGATAGCGTCTCGAGGACGTCACGGGGCGTCCTATTTCTATATATTTTAGAGGAGTCCTTTCTGACGCCGTAAAAATCTGACCTAGGGGGGGGGGGGGTGGTGAAATTCGGTAGTGGTAGTAGCAGAAACTGTAATAGTAGAATCAACTGAAATAGCAGTAAAAGAGGCAAGAATGTTAATTAGGGAACAATTAGAGAAGTAATCAAAATCGACGTGCGCTTAATTCCATGACCATTTCCAGATTAGTACCATACCTCACTATGTACACATTTTGGCTATAGGGAATCACAAACAAGAAATCATATAGGATAGGCAGATGTCCCAAGAAATGGAAGGTGGAATTAAATCAAACTCGATAATGAATTGATCGGACTATGTACATGAGCCTCACAACACAGTGCGGCCACAATGAGAGAAGGTGAGACTGTAGAAGGTGGAGCGGAGATAAGAAATGAAGGGGGTGAGTGGACGTTGAGAGGTGAGTGAGGCGGAGTAATTAGTCTCCGCGTGTCCGAGTTGAACAGCAGAAGACTCTACGGAGTGCCATCAGCACCCGCTCTCCAAACCCCATTCTAGGCTACAAGGA